ACTGGAGAAGAAATTGTATTTTGCAGAATAAATACTTAACTGTTACTAGAAATATAATACTACTTTTTCTACTGCGTGCCTTATGCTTTCGTGACCATCTAAAACAATGCAAAGACCCTCCCTATCACCAACTACTTCTTGCAATTTTGTGAAAAACCAGACGTAGGAGTTGTTATTTTCGGAGTCAACAATGCTAAATGCAAGCGGTAATATATGAGAATTTGAATCTTGACAAGAGGCTGTCAATAAAATTCCTCCATATACCGATGACAAAAATGTCCCATCGACAATAACAATTGGCCGACAATGTACCCACCCTTTAACAGATGCACCGAGTGACATGAAAACGTATATGAAATTCTTATCCCATGTGGTGCGCATCATCACATTGCTACCCGGGTTTGATGCACATACCTTACGAAGATATTGATGAGCATAATCGTATGACTCATCAACCTTGCCACGAACTTCATCAACAGCTTTCCGTTTCGACCTCCATGCTTTGTGATATGTCAAGTTTATCCCAAACCGATTTTGCATGTCGTCAATGATATCACCCGGATTATATGCAGTTTTATTGTTAGTGAATTTTGTCTTGATGAAACTACTAACAAGTGTTGATGTCGCTTGTCTCTGATTACTAGTACGGACATCCAAACCACATATATGTTCAGTCCCCACGTCTCTTATCTTAAAAGTGTTTGACCGATCCATACGGGAAGCTTTCACAAACCATGTACACTCGCTCGAGACACACCTGACATAATATTAAAAGTGTTAAATATATCAAAATATAAGTTAAATATAATAGAATATAAGTTAGATATACCAGGATACTAATCACTCGATACACACCTGACATAATATTGTTTGGAGCATGACTTGTCAACCTTGAATTGATACTGATGCTTTAGAGCATGCATGGTCAACATTGTTTGTAACGTTTCCTTATCCTTTAGTAAAAGACCAGCAACAATACCAGAGTCAAAATTTTCATCGCCTGTCAACCGCATTTCAGAACCAGGGTATATGTCAAGTATATTTTCGGTATATGCTGCCACTTCTACCATCTCTTCAGCCACGTTCCTCGCGAACGACATGAAATTTATCGTGCCATCTGATTTATCAGGTTGCCTGTCAAGCTCCGGATAACACAGTGGAGCAATGTTTAATTCGCCATTCAAAGAACCTATATTCACTTCTTCATCAAACGAATTTTCAACACTACTCCGAGATTTCACCACAACGCACACCGGATATTTCGTGTAGTCAGCTTCTTTGGACACCAAAAATACATAGAAGCTAAGGCTGCTATCGCTGTTTATCGACATTAGTGGACTACCTTCCTTCAGCTTATATTTTAGATCAAGCACAGATGATTGACGTATCAACCCGAGCTCCTCACACAATATACCGCATAATTCGTTGAAGCTGCCTTCTTTCCGAACCAAAACACCAGATAGTTGGTAATTCACGTAATCATTCATCACCCATTCACCCCCATGATGTATGAATATCATCATATTCGGATCCATCTGGAAAAAAAAAAAAAAAAACGAGACGACATCAATACCAAATAATCAAAATATACCAAGACTTAATAAAGGTTAATAACACAAAATATACCTCCCAAATTGTTCGGGGTGATGAGTGCTCGCCACAGGTTTTGATTGACACCACATGTTTTTCTTCCTTGTTAATGCATAGCGTCTGTCGGAGACGATCGATCGACAAAACCCCGCGTTTTTTTTTCTATGGATGAAGACCGTCTGTCGACTTTTTCCGGAAAATAACTGCTCGTCGGCGTGTTTTCTTTCTTTTTGTACTGTCTGTATCTGTGAATATTATGAATTCAAATTCAAATGTGATATCCTTCCATCTTGAAACCTGAAATTATGCGCTAAAAACATGGAAAGGTTGTTCCATCTCGTGTAACTGATATTAGGCATGATTTTAATTACTTTTTATCTTTTAGGTATATACACAATTTAATTGGATTGAGTGGTAAAGCTGCAAATATTTTAAAAACGCGTAGCACAGGTGAAAATTTCCCAAAATTAAATCTATTTGGGCCGAAAGTACAATGCGATAACAAAATCTCCCGATCGATTCGATTGACGATAAAAAAATACACAATTTATTATATTAATTAGACAACATCTAATTAAATAATAATAAGTCTAAATGATAAATGTCGAACAATTATCAGAATAAAATAAAATACACATAAATAAATATTCCAAAAAATTCAATATTCGAACGGGGCGCTACACCTACAGTCTCTTATGTCCTATAGCCAGCGCGATGAGTCGGTTCGTATAACACCTCCCAAGCGGGTCGATTATTATTGCTTCTACCAGGAAGAAATTGAGAACCCCACACCAAAACCCTACTCCACCCTTCGGCTCGTCTCATTTCGGAGCTCGCCTGAATCCATTCCCACAGAGAGAGAGAGAATGGTGGTTCGCTTGCGGCTGTCGAGATTGGGATGCAAGAACAAGCCTTTCTACAGACTAACGGCGGCGGATAGCAGTTCTCCGAGGGACGGCAAGCAATTGGAGGTCTTGGGCTACTACAATCCCCTTCCTGGTAAACCCTAATATTACGAATTCCACCCATTTTTCATAGTTCGATGTATCGAAATGGGCCCGTTAATCTGGAACTTATTTCGATATGTTTTTTCATTCGCGCCCTCGATCTTCAATCCAAATCGGTTTCCAGTTTTGTGCTAATGTTAATTTTGGAGCTGAATGTAGCTTGGAATTGGAGTTTCTATGCCTCCAATTTTTTTCGTCATGATTGGTATCTGTTTTCTGAATCTTGCAGGCCAAGATGGTGGTAAAAGAATGGGTATCAATTTTGACAGAGTGAAGTAAGTATCCAAATCATTTTTTCTATTTTCAGTTTGCTGAATCTTTGAAAAATGGTCACTTTTCAATGTGGAAAATTTGAAGTTTTTCTGTGTAGTTCCATTATTCAATTGTTTATATCTAATAAGCTTGTTGTAAATTTGCAATGGGTTCCCTCGTTATCTGTTGCTTTGTGTTCATACAGAGGAGTTGCATTCTGGGAATGGTTTCAGGACGAGACTTTACGAAATTGTCTAATATGATTATTTATATTCATCACGTATGACTGATTTGTTAACTTGACATTATGTAATGTGTGAATGTGCATAGCTTACTTTATTCAATTGATAAATCAAGCTATATTTATTTACCAGCTATCTAATATATGCACCATATACCCTTTTTTACTATTAATTGATTGATGAATTTACACACTGTAGTATTATATTGTACTAATTATCAATGTCACGTATACTTATCTTTTGATGAATGATCTATTACATCAACTATGGTCCATGATTTATATATATGTCCAAAGTCCAAATATCCAGCCAATCTCCTTAATGAGAAAGTATTCATTTCTAAAGTATGTTGCTCTTGTGTATCATGATTGTAACATGTTTAAAGTACAGACTTTGCCTTTCAGTATACTAGTTTAGCATAAATACATTCACCCGTCAAAACTTGTTTTTTTTTTTTTCTAGATTTTACTGAACAATCCATTGCATTGTAGGTATTGGCTTTCGGTTGGTGCACAGCCCTCAGAGCCCGTCCAACGCCTTTTGTTCCGATCTAGTTTGTTGCCACCTCAGCCAATGCTTGCTATGGGTCGGAAGGGGGGCCCACGCGACATGCGCGTGGTTGACCCGATGACTGGACGTGTTATCACTGAGGATAAACGAGCCAATGCTGTATACCTTGAGTTCTAAGGTATACAGCTCGTTTTGTGATTTGTCAGCTAGTCTGTGATGCACTTTTTCCTAGTCGTTTTGTTTACAACAGCTTGCATTTGATGAACNAAAAAAAAAAAAAAGGATATTTTAGGGGATTCTGCTTTCGAAACAGGAAAGGTATGTAACAGACTTTTGTTTATTTGCTAAGCTATGTTAATAAATAGCATGTTCCTTCCGGATTTCACTTTCTTCGTTGAGATGTATCAAATATTTGCCTTGGAGAGTATGTTGCATCTTGAATAGTTTTATATTTTTATTCACTTTGCTCTGGAATTCAGCATGTTTATGAACGAGACAAATGTGAAATGTCCGTGATAATTAGCCGTTATCTGCCTGTGATATGCAGTTTTGTAATCTACTAACTGGGCAAACCTAAATCGTCAGCATCAAAACAGTGTGCTGTATGAACTCTTTTCAGTAGAACAATAGTTCATTTAGGTCTTAATTCCAAGAAAATGAGTAAATCCCATAATTAGTTCAAATTAATATCGATCACAAAATGAAAGGGAACTACAGACAGACAAGACAAGTCCCACTCAGTTGCTTTCTTAATTCAAATGAAGATTCAAAGAGTGGGATGAATTCAGATGTCTGTAAGGTCACAAGCAAAATGTTATGACAGTGGCTCGTTTTGTTAGGTCCACAGAGACAATTTAATGCATGCACCATAATTGTTTTTCACTTTCATATCCTCATCAATTTATTGTCGTGGAAATGTACATGTGTATTTAAAATAAAAGAATTTTACTATCACTTTAGTTCACAAAAAGATATTGTTGATAGCCGACTTGGTTGTACATGATTAGTTGAGAACTAATCATATTATTCATTGATCTTTCGAAAAAGACTAAACTTAGCCCAAGCCGGTAACAGTCGAAAAGATACCGACTTCCTCATAGCACAAGCTAATCCGATTACACTCCAAACCGACTAAACTATAGAAGCTTACAGACCGACTTCTCCAAACGACAAAATTACTTGCTATGAAGATTATCTTTTCAACCGACATTCGAGGAGACGAAATTCCTAAGCAAGAAACGATGTACATCTTCTATTGGACCATCAAGTCAAAAAATAATCATTAATATTCCCTCATTATATTACAAACCGCTTTATTGAAGCTGCTCAGTATTTAATGTGATCTCATCTACCTCGGATTAAAAGACAAAATAGACGTACTATAAATAGCAGAATTTATTATTGTACGAGGATCTTTTTCGACACATTGTACACGGACTGTAAGACATCTCGGTTATGAACAAGAAACCGACTTCCTGTACTCTTGTGAATATATCAATAAAATACTCATCTTACTTTTGTTTCATGTAATGCACACCTTGCTGTTCGTTAATTTGAGTTGTTAATTTTCATACAACAACAGATATGTTCAATTGTAATTCAGAGCTTAAAAGTATAGATTATATATTGATTCAATAACAAAGTTTGTTATTATTATTATTTTGCAAATAATGAAATTCAGGTCAAGGCCTTTTTCTTATTTTATTTGGGAAAACAAATATGATTATGTGTCACTGCAAATTATGTCAGTCTCATAGTACGATTCAGATGTCACCAATATACGTAGTTTGGGATGATTAGAACTGCGAGCTCAATTTTTTAAGTTGGTTAAGGCTTGATTTGACTCGACACTACTTGATAATATCATAAAGATGCTTGAGACCCGCTTGAATTTAAAGAGAATGTTACTTGATATTATGTCGAATTTAACTTGACTTTAGGTACTTCATATAATACACATAATTGAGTGGCTCGTCTAAAAATCGAGCTTACCACTTACAAGCTTCAGTTGGGCTCGCAATCCGTGTACAGCCTATGCTCGACATGCTTTATCTGAAAATGGATATACTACAATTATCTTAATGATAATAATTAAATAAATCGAACCTTAATATTTTTGTGATGGTAGACATTCCAAAACTGAAGTAAATCTATTCAACCAATCATTTTGTCTATTACCAACTGAAACAGCCTTTTTAATTCTTAAAAAAAAAGGGAATTTTCATATCTCCTACGTGATTTATAAATATTTACAACTTTACCATGTAAATATAATTAATTATGTCTTTACTTAAAAGACCACATTTAACTACATTAATGCCTAAAAGGACTTACCATATCCAATACAACCTCAATCCCTTGATTTTCGTTGTAAAAAGACCATATTTAACTACCTTAATGGCTAAAAGGCAGTTACTATATCCATTTCAACCTAAAAAAAAAATGGGTTCATTTTTTTAGTTTATATGTTTTGTTTTATCTTTGATAATTCATTAAATGGATTTTTCAGTTTTTTAATGGTATATATATAGTTTATTTTAATCGTTTTTTAATGGTATACATATCGTTTTTTTTAAATATTGCTCTTTTGAGAATATACCAAAAATATATTGAAAATTTACTAACTATAACCCTGAATAACCATACAAATAAAGCGCTCCACCCTTAATGTCGTGTATATNAAAAAAAAAAAAAAAAAGAGAGAAAGAAAAGAAAAAAGAAACTCTAGTCTCAAGCAACCATAACTTCTCAATGAACCGCTCGTGATTTGATCTCAACTCATCAAAACTTGAGCTTTAGCTCATTTTAAAGTTCGTTTAGTTAACAAGCTCGTTTCAAATTTTCACATGATTTTCTCAATTTCCACCTTAACTCAGCTCGTTAAGGTTTGAGTTTAGCTCATTAAGGCTCACATCTCACTTGTTATGATTGACAAACGAGCCGGATGGTTAACGAGCTAGGCTCAGCTAGATTCAACAAAAACTCGACCCCGAACTCGAGTAACGGAAACTTAAACTCGACTAGGTTCGTGTAAGCTTATGTTGCTGATTGTTGGCAAGGATACAAGTTGCAAACCACCACACCATAAAACATGGTCAGCTCAATGTAAGAAGTAACTTCCATAATTAACCCATCTCAGACCATTGGTAAAAGATCAGTTTCTGTGTAAAAATTTTCAAACTTCTATAGTTCAGAAATTCCAAAAATGCAAGCCCTCAATATCCCAGTTCCAGAAAAATGGTATATTGGGTGTCAGTTTTTCCTTCATGAGGAAATTTATAACACCTCAAAAATGTAGCTAGGGAAAAAAAAGAAGAAGAAGAAGAAGAAGAAGAAGAAGAAGACACATTTGGGTTCAATAATATCAGTAATGGTCAATGAATTCACAAACTAGACTTATGCGTGTGATTGATTAAGGTAATTCAGTACAACCCAAGTTCACAGAGTACTGCAAATCAACAAAATATTGATTTCCTGTTAATCCCTTTTCATTTTTGACTTTTTGGAAATTATTACACAATGTACAACCATCTTATGCACTTAACCAGATAACATAAATTAGAATAAAAAGTTCTATCTGCAAAAAAGTGTCAAAAGCTCAATTCGATCCAAAATTCCACCGGCCACAGAAAAACAATTGGATAAAGGTAATCAAACAAAACCCCCACATATCATCGTACACAAACAATACTGTAATTTTACCAATCATAATAATTCCTGCTCTAAAACTCAAGAATCACACCATGGTACATATAATCAATCAAAATCAGTAAGCAAAAAACACTTAACAAATTATCTACAGAAACGAACAGAGGATTGTCAGATCAAGGGCAGGCGCAAGTACGAGCAATTGTGCGGATTGAAGATGAACAGAAGAAAAAAAGTAGAGATAAATGGAGATTAAAATAAAAAAGCAAACAACAAAGATAGCAAACAGGAAAGGTAATCGAATAACGAAAACTGCTTTTGCTGTTTGAAGGATTTTGAGCAATTGGTGTTAGACGAATTGTAGAAGAAGAAGGAGATGAAAGGGAGAGAGAAGAAGAAGACGGACGAATAGAATAGAGAGGGGGAGAGAGAAATCGTATGATAATTATAGATCCCATTAAATTTGCTTTTACCATATTTAAAATAATTATTTGTTGCTCAATAATTTAGTATGTTTGTAAATAAATATGATAGTTTTAGTTAATTTACAAATAAATATATATAGGTTGTGTTTATCTATATCTATATCTATCTATCTATCTATTCTATCTATCTATCTATCTATATCTATCTATCTATCTATCTATACTATTATAAAAGGACGAGTTATTTTGTAAAAATAATGATCTGCCTAAAATACCCTTACTTTGACATATTTTTAATGACAAATTAGTAATATAGTAATACCCATCTTATTTTATATTTTTAATTAACAAATGAATTACCTAAAAAAGCCCTTACTTTGAATGGCAAATTAGTACTACACCAATAATCATCTTATATTTTTAATTAATAACTAATATTTAATTAATTAAATATAGATACATAAACAAAATATTCTAGCTCTCCTAAAAATCAACCTCAACATTCTCATACCATTATTCATCACCAATTTGATTCTTTCACATATCTGTCAAACTGTTTTCTTTCATATCTCCCAAAAATCAACCCAACAAGGCTATGAGAGAATATATAGTTGATGTTTTCAAAAACGTCTTTATTTTAATATAATTTTAATGTAAAATCGTAATCATAATTTTTAATTAACAAATGAACTACCAAAAAAATACTTACTTTGACTTATTTTTAATGGCAAATTAGTCTCCTAAAAATCGGCCTCAATATTCTCATACCATTATTCTTCACGAATTTGCTTCTTTCACGTATTTGTCAAACTGTTTTTTTCATATCTCCAAAATATCAACCCAGACAACAAAAATTTGAAAAGATATATAATTGATGATTTTGGAAAACATTCTTATATTTAATAATGTTATTTGAAAATAACATAATGCACTGTAATTTTTATAAATTATACTTTTCATAGTTTCTCATCTTTCGCATTTGTAATACATTTTTACCACATATAAGTTAGAAAATATTTAAAAAAAAACATGATTTTTCTTAATTCAATATAAGAAAATCATTGAAAACAATATACTTTTTAGAATTTTTTATGAAGAAAACTTGAAATCGGTATTGTTTGTTCGCATAACGGCCACGAAGTATAGAAATACTATTTTTTAAATTAATCTATAAAAATATTAATCTTTACCAAGAAATTATATGGATATATTACCAGTATCCATCTATCCAATCTGTATTATTATAATAAAGCATTTTTTTCTTTACAAAAATGTACGAAATTATTATATAATAAGACATATATAAAATTTCATAAATAATATTAAAAATGTTATAATTGATTAAAATAAATATAAAACTTGTATATATCAATATAAACGAGTTGAGTTGTAAACATTTGTTAATTTTTTGTGATTATTAAT